ATTAACCTTGAGTTTGCATTTATTGTTTGCTCTTGTATTGTTATGATTGAAGCTGAAGTATTCATTGACAGGTAGGACATTACAATGTATGATTTTATATACTATACTTAGATTGGACTGAAGGCAGCGTAGCTCTAGAATTTTCTAGGTCTAGAATTTCGAGTCTGGTGGCATAAGGTATTCTGCAACGAGTAGATCACTGATCAAGCTATAAAAACCTCAGGGTCAGTTCTAGAATTTAGTTTGTGATAAAACTAGATATAGCAAGAAAGTGCATTAGGCTTTTCAAAAGAACAAAACCTATCAATGTCAAGGAAATAAGTATATGCTATTTAGAACTAATCTTCATCTTTTATTTTAAAAATTAATTCCTTTCATTTTATTGATCGATCCTTGATTTTGATAGAGTTAGATAACACTAATATACAGAGTTCTCTCTCTATGGAAAGCAATTTAATACTGAATTAGGTCATACTGAAAAGAACTTCATGGAACTTCAGAACATGAAGATATCAGATCCAACTCAGAATTTACTTGAATCAGATACACATTTTTATTAAATGTGCTGATTTATATATTTATGTAAAGCTTTACAAAAAGTGAGACTGCAATAGGAGAAATTTGAAATTGGTCTCTCCCTAGTAACCCCAGTGGGGTTAACTCAACATCTCTCTCTGAACAATTGTTTGCATTGTGCCTCAGAATTTGTGAGAAATATGTTGTGCTAAGAAGTTATATGATCTTTTTTTCTCTTTCTTTTCTTGATTTTAGACAAAGAACTCTCCTACAGGAATTCAGAAGAGTTACTTTCAAAAGATGAATTCTGCATGATATATATTTAATTTATTGCAGCAGCTAAACTTAGATCTAAAATTTGCGAGCTGTGTGTCTAATATATAAATTCCAATCTTTGGCTACAAATTCTGTCATCCTCATCCTATATGTTGAGGAAAGGCTCATATAAATGTTGGTTCAAAAAAGTTGCACCTGTTTAAATTTCATGCAACATTGTCTACTTAACTCCTTCATGCTGAAGCAATATTAACGTGGCATCATTTTAATAGTTTAACTCATCTCCAACTATCCTTAAATGGTTGAAGCTGGGAAAAACATTTTTAATTTCCTTACATCTTTCTCCTATATCTATAATTATTTGTCTACTCCATCTTTCCAAAGACTCATGGACTCAATTTAATTCTCCTCCCCATTCCATCTTCCCAATCTGAAGTCTCTTTCCTGCTATATAGTAGAACAGGTATGGAGTGTGGATCAAGCAGTCAGTGTTTCATATACTAAACTGTTAGAAAAAAGAAGAAGAAAATCCCGCCAGCTAATTGACAAAGAAGAGAGAGAGGTGCATAGGGGAATCCCTTTCTGGGGTTTCAGTTTGCAAAAAGGCCATGGTGGCTGCACTGGAGGGGAATCACATAATGTTATCTGGAAAGTTACATATCTTGACACCTACAGTACTTCAATGATGATCCTACTTCCAAGGTTTATCAGTGGAACTAAAAAGCAGTTGAGCCAGACACAGGAGGGACACTTATGAACTGGAGAATCCCTGGGGGAAAAAAATCTCCAAATATATTCTACAAGATATCTAAAGGGCATCTAAAAGTTTTCTGAGAACATGCCCATCACATTACAAACCCAGTTACAGTAGTATCAGGTTTACAACTTTCTGTATAAAGACTTTACAGTTAATGTGCTTTATAAAATATAGAACTATGAATGATATTTTTAAAATATATTTTCCTTGCCAATAATACATAATCTGTTGTAAAAATATAGCTAAAACCTTATTGAAAATATGATGGTCACAAGTTAGAACAATATAAGGAAAGCTACTTGTTGCAGCCCTTAGTTATTTTTCCCCCAGGAAAAAAGAAGTCATGGACTTGGCACTACTTTTCATATATCTTCATTCCTGTGTATAATGAACATTTTTCCTTAAACCAGGAAATCAAATTTAATTCTTATATAGCTTAACTATAAATGTTCGATATTTATTTTGTATGTGTGACAATCCAGCTATAATTCCGCAGTTAGTTCTTAAACTCAACTAAAAATTGCTACAGTATGTTCCAGAGCTGATTTTATTCACTTTCAGGAGAACAAGTGGGGAAAATAGTGGCAATGGTTTTTATTGGTGATGGCTAACATAGTGTAGCATAGGATGTGAATCCCATATTAGACAGTTTCCTGTTGGTGTATAATGTCTTCCTTGTTTAGGAGCCTTTGGGAATTGGTTTGGGAGCCTCTGTGAATGACAGGCTGAAAGCTAGTTGCATGTTTATCTGCCACTGGTGGGTAACAGACCTTCCAGAATTGGGCTGGAAGATCTCCTAATCTCTTCACCTCCTGTTTAGCTTAACCATAGATCAGGCTCATTGTTTAGCTTATCTGAAATAAAACGCTATTTTGCTAGAACAAAAGGTATGCTAACAATATCTTAAGGGAAATAAGAAAATGGAGACGTCCATATGTAGAACAAAGTTGTTGGGGGTCATATAAGCATTCCCTCACATTCATATATTTCCAAGAGTAATTTCTTTCTGGGTTCCTTTCTCCGTGTGTCTTATTGCAAAACTGTGTTAGGCAAATAAACAACCCTTAATAAGTTCAGTTAGAGGTTTCTGCATATAGTGGATGTACTGATTTTAAATGCTAACTCTGTGACTGCTGCTGAAAGCAATTGTATTTGAATCAGTAAGTTCAATCTTAACCAAGATTATTTGGAAGTAAATTCCATTAATACTTTCAGTAGAATTTACCTCAAAGCTACTTCATTAGTATTGTAATCTTAAAACACTGTTTTGTTTGCATTTCATGAGACTTCCATTTGGAAAAAAAATGGCACAGTAGTGTGAAGAATATCATGGTTAGGTCAGTTGACTGAAATTGTCATTATGTGAATGACATATACTGCATACAATTTAAAATGTAGTCTTGGAGTTTGAAACCTCAAATTTCATTTTAAAAACACCAACCTACCTTTCATCATGCCTTTCAGCATCAGCCATGTTAACTGCTAACAAAATAGCTCAAAATAGCAGGTTGAATCTTTATTTTTAAACATTTGCATCTGAAAGGGGCAAAAACATCAATAGGATGTGATTCCCCACCCCCAATCTCCAAACGGCAGTTGTTCACCCTGAGTCTTAATATCCTTGTATTAAAAACTGCAACTCTCAGGGCCAGTGAAATCAATGCTAGCTTAAAGATTTCTTGGACTTTTAACACTTTTATATCCCAGAACACTTAAATGTAATCTGAGTTGCTTTAACTATGAAACTATGAACTATGCAGTGACTTTGTTTCAGCATACACAGGCCAGTATGGCTGGTTTTGTGCTTGAAAACTGTAGGTACACAATATACAAAGAACAGCCTGCACATTTCAGCTTGAATGCAAGATATAAAAATTAGTGAATGTTTTGTCAAATAAAATAATATCTTATGTGTTGTACTGAGCAATGATTTAGAAGAGTTGGGTATTTCATTCCCCTGAAACTTTTCAAAAGCTTGAATCTTCGATCCCTTTAGGTCAATTGGAACAATAAGGCAAAACCATTGTCCTATTTAGCTAAATATTTTCCTGACATTTTCTGCAAAAAGTGTACTGTAATTTGTTTTTAGGTGAGTCTCAGTTTCGTATGAATAATCACCAGAAGAGGAAAAACCTAAACTGGACTTTTTGAAAGCAAAAAAGGGAGTGATTAAATACTTTGAAAAGATATGAGGGAAATATTTTGGAATTCCTGTGAGAGTATCACTTCTCTGCTACATGTTAAAGCAGTCTTTAGAGAACCAATTTTTTAAAATTCAACTCTTAAGGCAACTGCATGCACAGGTTTGGTAAACAATGGAACAGGTAGACAATTGGCTTCAAGTCCTCTAAATATTCTTTCAAAGCAGGCCATCTTCTTTTATAGTAATGTTTTTTTTCAAGTCAAAAGCAATAAAACACTAGGCTTACCTATACAGTAGATTATGGTATTGGCTGTCCTTGATTATTTCCTCTTTCCATTGCATCAGATATATTCGATTTTACTCAGCCCGCAGATGAAACTCAACACAACAGCTGGCACTTAGTAATCAAATAGCAAAATGTGTCAAAAACACACCTACACATGCTTTTCAGTTTCACTTTTGGTAACCCTTCTCTTGCACAGGCCCTGCCCCAAATTATTAATTTCACTTGAGCATGCTTGAACATTTGCTCTGGGTGAAAGGGAGAGGCTATAGTGGCATTTTTGAAATGGACCAGCTTGTCAAATCTTTGTCTTGAAAAGTAAGAACTTTAGCATACATGGAAATACCCTTTTGCAGGTAGATTCCAGATTGTAACTATTTTGTTAGTGGTGAAAAGAAATGTATATTTCCAGCAACAGTCCTGATGAATGGAAAGTCTTTCCTTGGATAAACAAATGCCTGAATCTGGTACAATACATTAGTCACTGTTCTACATTTATTGCCCAACAAATATTGTGCAATAAATATAAATAAATAATTGTCATGACAAGTTCTAAACAAATTAAAAAACCCATTTACCATGTTATATTTGTGTCAGCTTGTAAAAGTAGCACAAACTTTTCCAGTACCATCAAAGGAAAATGTTAACACAATGTGATGATACAAAAAACACAACGGATGATTAAAGCTACTGATGCTGTGTTACCATATGCAAACCAGCTTGCTAGAGTCAAAGCAACAGATTTTTTTGTGATTATCTAATAGAATGTTGAATATTATTTCAATAATTTAAACTTCACTAATTCATTAAACTTTAAGCAGCAGTTCTCTCTGGTCAGATTTTATTAGCATGCTTTTAAATTAGATAAATTCTAGTCAGCATCTCTTGAGAGAGGCAAGATTGAGTGTTGCATTCAGAGACACAGCTCAGTTTGCAGTAACATACAAAATCCTTATACATTGAGTCTGTCCAAGTAGTAAAAAGCTTTCATCAAAAAAGACAATGGGGAGAAAAATCTTGACTTCATTTCTTCAGGATCTCAGTACATATAAAATCTCAGATTTCTAGACTGCTCTTCAGCTGCTGTTACATGACATTTTCAAAAAGCTGTAAGGACCTCATGATATTGTCATCCTGGAAACAACAAGAAAATACAATATACATATTTAAGCTGCTGACACAGTTTTGTCCAGTCTGCGATAGCAATGGGGGATTGTTTTTGAAGGCCCACAGATTATCCGTTTTACACATTATCATGTATGAGTCTGAATATATGGCGGGGCAAAAAGTGACGTTACTCTGAAAAAGAGCAGTCAAAACAAAGTCCAGTTTATGTGATCCCATGCATCTGTCCTAATGGTTTTGTGTGTTGTTCATTTAAAACATTAGAATGTTATATTGCTTTGGCTGATTTTCTGAAGTCTAGTGTCTCTCTCTGTGTGTGCACATACATCCTCTAAATATGCTGTTGTGGGGTTTTTTATTTGTTTGTTTGTTGCTATAATGTTAATACAGCTACACAAGTTTAGCAGACTTTGTGGGTGAAAGCTTTGGACCCTATGTGTAACCAAAAGCTCCTGCAAAAAAGAGGAACATTTTATCCCTGACCAATTGGCTGAAAAAAACCAACCCACCATCCCAAGCAGCTCTCTTGTCACAGCATCTCTGTGCCTGCCAAAAAATGGGCATAAGCATGATTCTGGTCTGATTTTAATTCTTAAACTCTTATAAAGTTTCTTTGTCTCAACAAGCTGTTAACTATTATAGAATGCTATATAAATTGCAAATCTTCTGCGGTTGTAGAAATAAATTGATATATGTTGCCAACTTTGATGTCCATGTCCTGTGCTTTAGGAAATCATCTGACAATATTTTATAATAAATCATTCAGCTAGCTTATTGTCTAAATATTTAATGCATATCAGAATGGGAATTTTATTTATCACATTTGAACCCAGCTGCACACATACATAGACTCTTAATTAATTTGTTTCAGTTTCACTGTTAGCTACTAGATTTGCTATTGCAAAACAATGGAAATCTGACATGCATTTCATATAAAGTATTCAGAGGTATTTCAATGTGGGAAGTTGCCCAGTCTGAAAAATTAACAGTAAGAGCTTTGGAAAACTGTGCAATAAAAGAAAATTCAATCACATTAGGTCATCATTACTACTAAAATATTAGTAATATTTTTCTTACATATTACCTTTATGTGTTGTATTCACACTCTTTTGAAAAGAAAGATTGATTGTGGTTGTAAAAAAAAGAATGTTGCATTTCTTTTTAAGATTACCTTCTTCTCCCTCTTCTTTTGTATGAGTCTGTTGTCAGTTTTCATTGACAACAATAACAATCTTGTTTCTGATACCTTTGTTGTTATAATTTTTGATTTCCTCTTATAACTTAAAATATATATTTAAAATGATTCTACCTTCTGCAGACTCAAGTTTCTGGATTTCTAGGAAACTGAACCCTGGTTCCTGGTACAAGAAAGTGATCAACCTCTTTCTAGCTCTTTTTTTCTGAATTATTTTCTTCACTTCCATAGCAACTCATTATTTATTAACTACATCATTTAATTTACTCTGTTATTCAGAGCCCCATACTTCAGGCTTGGTAATATGGTTAGTGATAGCTATATATATATATTGTAAAATATGAGAAATATGACTATTACAGTTCAAGATGCCCCAAAAGCTTTCACAGGCATTAATTAATAGTGTGCCATTCAAGTGTTTTTCTTTTATGCCCTAACTCTTCCAAGAAGCAATGGCTAGAAGCTGGTCAGACAGAGAACCAAACTGGAAATAAGAAGAATTTTCCTGACAACAAGAATGATTAGTGGAACAGCTTGATTTCCACAATTGTTCCAATGTTCCATTGCTGGAAATTTTCAATAAAAGATTAAATAACCATTTGCCCAGGATAGTATAAGGACTCCTGCCTTGAGCAAGGGTTTGGATTACAAGAACTCCAAGCTCCCTTCCAGCTCTACGATTTTATGATCTTCAATTGAACCATAGAAGTTGTTGCCAGGGGCCTGTGATAAGCCTGGAAAAAGGTGATACATTCTTTTTTTACAAATAAAATAGGGTGCATGATGATCTGGGAAAGCATTAGCATGACAGATCAAACAATGCTGATGAAAGATGGATGCTCAAGAAGGACATATTTGATGCATCTGATGTTTCTCTACCAGAATAGAAGGCTAGTGAAATAGGCAAACATGAACAAATGATTTAGGAGAACTACAGAATGTATAATGTTTATTTATTTTGCTTACCCCAAGGCCTGTTTCCTGGAGATAAGGAAATGTAATTGTAAATCTGAATGGTTATACAAGTTTGATCTGCTGATTCTGTACAACTATTTTGCTATTGTTTGGGGTTTGGGCTTAAATAAAATAGATTCAAATTTGAATTTATTGTGATAGGAGCTAATAGATTTATTATAAATGTTACATTTCTCTTTCTGACAAAATTGCTTGTCATACTGGGTATAATTGGAATTGCTTTGCTCAGATGGTAATATAAGAAATCAAAAAGGGAAAGCAGAAAAAAAACCCTGCCCATGTCTGCTTGGTATTCTAATGAAACAAGGGAGGCTAAATCTAACTTAAAAGAACCAGTTGCAGAGACTGAAACTGAACCTGAAAAATAGGAAGTCTCTCACAGATAATGTCTAAGTAAAGGGAAATGCAATCAGTCTTGCAAGAAGAGTTAGTCACACTTGTTTATTTTTTTTTAAAAAAAGTTAAGCATACATGCATTCACAAGTAGCTTCAGCAAAATGGGGTAACTCTATTCTCTGAGATAACTTTGTCCTACTTAAAGAAAGGTTAGCAGAACTAGCAGAAAGGTAATCCATTTAGTTATAATGGTGATGGGTGCACTATTGGAATACTTGAAAGGCCAGGTTAGGGACAGTTCATCAAGGAGAAAATCTGTGTGGATGCAAGGAGTTGAACATGACTTGATGGCACATAATCAAGCATGATAAATGGAGTACAATATTGTGTGGCCAATAGATTACTGTATGACAGCTGATCACTCTTTGCAAGTAGCTACAGGGGAGAATCTGGATGCTATGCTCAAGACAGTGAACATGGATAGTTCTTTTCAAAAGGAACAATGAAAAGATAATTTCTTCTTCTGAAGGAAAGTAGGAAATGAAGGATTTTTATTTTGTTCCCACTCTTTTTGAAGTGAGTAATTTAAAGAGGATCAGATGTTTGTCTATTGCCTTGTCTGTTGTGCTAAATGTGGAAACTAAAATGATATTAATGTATTGCCATCATAATATTGAATAAGGTGACCTGGACGCTCAATATTTAATGGAATAAGGAAATTTAATTTTACAAACTAAATATAAGTACTGAAATGAAAATAAACATCACATCGTCCACTGGGAACCTAACTGAGATGTACAAGCAAATGCTTCTAATAAAAATATGAGGGTCCTCATCACAGGACTGTAAAGAAAGAACTAAGCTTCTATGCCCTACTCAAAAGAGTCCCCACTTTACATATAAAGATAGTCCTTTACATTTAATTACATATGTATTTTCATTATATTTATGGTACTTTGGTACATACTTTTGTATTCTACCAAGTATCATAAGCATGAAGAGTTATTTGAAAAGTGTTTATATGCAATGTTTAATTAGCTCTGCAAGGCCCAGGAAAGCAACTGATCATCAAGTATTCTTCTGATAAACAATTATAGGAAGAAAAACATTATAAAATATATGCTATGTATTTAATAAAGTTTAGCTCTGTTTTAATGAAGAATGAAAAGTGATCTCCTAAGGGAATATTAGAGATCTCTGCTGGATGTGAGTTATTCTTAAAAGGACCTTAAGGTCTATAATGTAGCCACTAGAGAAATGAAGGAGTTGTTAGGAAGCAGATGGATTACAATTTTCAATTTTTAATGAAATTCTAAATATATTTGTCTTTTTACACTATTATTTCACTGATCCTTTCAGTTATAATTTGATAATATATATCTATAGTCTTTTCTACATAGAAAGGCAGAAAGACAATGGCTTTCTGAAATATACAGTACTCTTCACTTATCAATTAACTGCCTTGTTTGGCACCTGTTCAAGCTTACATTTTGAAAATGCTCCTGCCTTGCCTATATGGTCCAACGGTATCCTGCTTTTCTGGCTAAACCACATGAGCTTTGCATCACCAAAGCCAGGAACAAAGCCCAGACTCTCTTTTGAGAATGAGCTTGCTTTGCCTACATGAGCTTGATAAGGATCTATATCAAATTGCTCATGACCTCAGATGGGGGATCGGGTGGATGGATGAGTGGAGGGATCTGACCTGTAATGAGAATCTTCTACTTAATAAAATTCTTGGGAAAAAGTATTTGGGTAATGGTGCGGGGATGGGTGTGTATTTTAACAGATTTTGTTCACTTTTTTTTGGAATGAAATATTCATGCCTTTGACCATTTCTTTATTGAGCTCTATTTAGAATGGGACTTCCAAGATAAATAGGGTCTGCCTTCAACTTTTCTCAGTCCTCTTCTATGTTGCTAAGCCCTCTCATGCTCAGTATAACTTGTTTTCTTATCAGGGCCTTCATGCAATAACTTCTTAGAGAAGTTAGACTTCTTCCTTGCATTTACTTTTAACCTCTCAATTTATTGTGTTGCGTTGACATCATTCTTTTCTCTTTGTACATCTTCTCATCTGTGCAAATTGTGCCAATTTCAATCCTGTGCAAATTCAACCCTCTGTTTACACTTTGACTTCATTATTTTTTCCTATAAGCAGAATGTGTCATATAATTTTAAGTTCTTAGCAAGTCATTTGGTCTTTTACAAGACCACAAAGACCTGCCTGTTTCTGCAGGCACTGGGCCAAGATATTAGATTTAAAGGCTCTGGCATGGTTATATGGACATATGGGTATATGGACTTGACCTGAGATTTTCATAGGGAGCCTCAACTTGAGGAGGAGGGATGAATTGATTATGTTTTTATTCTCTTTGTCACTCAAAGTTTCACTGGATAGGTGACTGACTTTATATAGTGGATTAATAAATAAAAAATAAACACATTGGAATGATGTAAAATAGTGGATGAACCACATCAAGATGATTTCTTGACTGGTTTTACTGTAAAAGGAAGGAAGTCTTCCCTTACCTCCTGACATGACTCAATAAACTCATCCAAAGTTACAATGCCGTCTTTGTTTTTGTCCATTTTCTGTAAAGAAAAAGATTGGTTTTGTATTGATTTTGAAGCATAATGTAGAAATGCCACAGAAGCATAGCTCTACAGTTCTGCAGATGTCTACTCCAAATATGTAATAATTAAAAATATGATTTTTCAATGTAGAAACACCTGAATATTACCTGGAAAAATACTTCTACATGTTGTCTTGGAGCATCTTCTTTCAGTACTGGGTAAGTATACTTGCCCATCATGTCATAAATTGCCTTTACTATATCCATCATTTCCTGAAATTATAACAATTAAAACACAAGAGAGATCACAAATAGGATTAATTTTCAAATCCAATACAGCTGTGGCAATAACACCCTAGAAATCTTTTTTTTTCCCCTTTGAGTGCTGATTTTCCACAACAAAACAATACTGACATGGCAATATTCCCGGTTAGGAAGACTGTGATTTAAAGCTGCACATGGACTAAAAACCTTCTAATTGAAACAGAATTGTTTCAATTAGCTGGTTTATTGAGTTCATAGCTATGATAAAGACATTTTCAAATGTTTTGATCTTTTCATTAGAAAATGTCTGTTTAGTAACTTTTAATTCAATAAACCTTTCTACCTAAAACAAAATTTATTCAGCATGCCCAGACCTGCTATATTTGGCCTTGTCAGACATCCTGTAAGGCACAGGTTGAACATTACTTGCATTTGCAAGAACATGGACTGGATTTCTCATAACCATGTTTACAGATCAGTACTCTTAATTGTTATTTCTAAGTTAGATCCAGGTATTTTTGTTAGCAGCTTATATCCAATGACAGTTTTGTATTAGCAAAACCCATTTCTCTTTATCCAAGATGGATTATCTATCTTTTTGGTTTTATTATCTCCTTTTGCTCACTATACTGGATCCTTTCAGTTATAGAGTGTTACTTCAGTTCTGAAGATCAATTTTTAATTGTCACCTAAGGCTGTAATTAATAATATAATTGTTTATTAATGCAAAGCCATCACTGGATATCATCAGTCAGTCTCATCAATATAATACAATCAACAATTATATGTATATAAGAAAATGTAAGTTGTGCTGGATACAACCCTTTGTTTGTCTCACATGTTATGTAAGCAATAACAGCCAAGTGCTGTTGCTCTACCAAAAATAAAAATCTTGCAGCACATTAAAAACTAACAAATCTATTATGACATAAACTTCAAGGACTTGCTGTTCACTCTATCGCACATTTCATTTGACTCTATCTATCAAATGCTTACCTTACTAAACTTGTTAATCCCAAAGGTGCTGCTGCAAATCTCTAGTACATCTCTCTGGAAAATTATGTTCGTGTATTTTACTAACTTGTTTTGTGCATATGCTAACTGAACCAATGAGCCAATGGGCAATTCTGAAGATCTTAGTATTTTGTGAGCTTGGTTGTTTGCTTGCACATATTTCACTTTCCAAATAGTTAATACCATTAGTGTGAATGAGGGTGGAGTTTGCTGCCTCTTTATACATCGTAGCTTGTGAGGTAATGATGAGGGTGTAGTTTGCTTCTTGGTTAGATTTGATTATAGATTTTTGCCCAGTTGTTTGTCTGATGCTGATTCCTGCTTCTAGGTGTTACTATACATTCTTTAAAAAGTATTTTTTGGAAGGAAATTAAAATGTTTTAATTTAATTGTTAAAATATTTTAATTTTCTTGCAAAAATGAAAACAGTATTATACCTACTATATAATCCATGCTAGCTTTTTGAGTAAGAAGTTCTGGCTTTCGTTCATTCTCCCTTAGAAAACATAGCATTTCCTTCAGAATCTCAATGGAACTTAATTGGAAGAGGCCTTATAGATCTTCTAATCCAACCCCTTGCTTGAGCAGGAAACCCTATACCATTTCAGACAAATGCTTGTCCAGTCTCTTTTTGAAAGCCTCCAGTGATGGACAACCCACAACTTCTGAAGGCAAGCTGTTCCATTGGTTGATTGCTCCCACCATTAGAAAAATTCTCCTTAGTTTCTCTTAGTTTCTCAGTTCTAATCTAATTACATTGGGAATAAGTCTCCCTTGGATTAGAACTGGACTAATATATGTAGAAACTCTGCTGTTATTCAGCAGAATAACAAAATACAACCCAGTTATTGGATGAATTTGATGTTTGCCTGTTCCACTTCAAAGAACAGCACAGAAATTCCTTGCAAATATTTCCTGGCATAGTGTGTGGCTCAGAAGAGATAATGAGCTTGTGTAATTTATTGGACATATTGAGGGAAGTTGTTGCCATGTAAATTCGTAAAAGGCTAAAATGGCCAAGTTGACATATGGTGCTTTGTGCATTGCAAATTTGTCTGTGAGATTATTGCTGGAGCCATAAATGTGCTATGTACTTCTCTCTTTGTATTCCTGTTTCTCCAAAGAAAGATTTGCTGAGATGAACAGAGATTCAGTTCTTCCAGAAAGTGTTGTCTGGGACAAGACACCCAGCAATCAGATTGCTTTCTGCTCTGCTATGTTATTATTGTTTTTTGCAACACACACTACTCAATTTCATGTGATGTCTCAATTTGTCTTAGTTTTTTTTAAATATTTATACAGATGTGTTTATATGATGTGATCTGGACAAAGTGAAAATGCCTCCATTCAATGCAGTTAAAGAGAATGAAGTAAGATTTTAAGCTTTATTGCCCAATATGATGTTATGGATACATAAACCTCAGTAATGGAGGTGACAAGCCTTGTCCAAGCATTGTCTCCACTTTGTCCACCACCCCTAGTTTCTATGTTGAATGGGAAAGCCAGTATTGATTTTCCATTTATGACATTTTGAGTGCTGATAGGGTTGGTTGTTTTTATAAGAATTAAGACAACTTGAAGGTGCCAACACATAATTGGAACTTTGATAACTCATCTCATCTTATCATTTCATCTCATCTCATTTCTTTTTGAACTGCATGGATAGAAATAAAAGCCCCTTCAGACAACCTCTTCTAAACATAGGAAGACTGGTGATAATACAGACACTATTTGTAAGTATGACTTAAAAACCCGAGCAAGGCTGTTGTATCTGTGACATGTGTTACAGCCTCCTTTCTCTTTCACTCTATCTCATATTGGCACCTTCCAGTTGTCTTAATCCTTATAAAACCGATAAAACATATTGTATGCTAAAAGCTATGACACTTTTTAAACTAATTGTTTTATTAACGAATAACAGAAAAAATAGATACTTGCTTGTAATATGCCCGTCTTTCAATGTTTATTTTAAGCATTGAGTGGTTTTCTCAGCTAGTCCTGAACTAAAGCAATATGAAAAGCAAGGTAAATTTTAGCTCCAACAGGAAGTGGGGAAAAAGCTTAATGCCCTTTGTTTATATGGATCTAACATTCATTATATATTTTGTACAGCAAGTGTTTGACATGTTTGACAAGATGATTAGAAATGCACAGAAACCAATAATTTATATATACTAAAAGCTAATTCATTATTATGTATTTAAGAAATATTTAATCCAGAGCTAGTAATAGAAATCTTTTAGTAGGTAGGTTGATGCCAAGCCTGAGTTGCATTTTGCAGGTTTAATCAGCAGCCAAAAGTCTGGAGAGGACTATAAACCACCTTACCTCCTTGTTTATATAGCCATCTTTATTTATGTCATAGAGATTAAATGTCCATCGTAGCTTTTCATGAACTGTTCCTCTCAAAAGAATAGAGAGTGCCATCACAAAATCCTGTGAATCCAGGAAAACAAATACAAATCTGATTTAACTGAATACTGATTTGCTTTAACCAAATGAAAATGCTTTCTCTGAACTTTTCAATAGAGCAACATTGGCAAATGATGCTTTGTTAGAATCAGGATCTCATATAAAAATGTTCATTTATACTTAACAATGCCTTTGTTCAATTCTAAGGTCAGGCCAGTATGGTTCAGGCTCTACCTAGATGGTAGCTTTTTCGAAACAGCTAAAAGAATGGCAAGTCAGATGATTACATTATTAAATTCTCAAATGGTAGACAGTGGAAGAAAATTTTAGGCATGGTTAAGAAGCCTGTGATTGGCATTGAACCAGATATGAATAAATATTTTGATATGAGTTATCCATCTTAGAATTCATAAGTTTACTGTTTAAATGGACTACATCAAACATTTGCATTGTAAAATATAGATGCAACAGGTAAAAAGCCCCAAAGCCCATTCTTATACATCACTTCCATTCATGTTGTATAGGAAATAACTTATTAAAGAGATCCTAATGACCTCATCTCAGAGATTTGCACAGATAGACATAAACACACAAATTAATGCTTGTTACCCATACTAAGGACAAATTACAATTTCTTTACCTCAAACTTCACAGATCCATTCTGCGCTGTATCAAATGCATTAAAAAGATAATGGGCATACATACTAGCATCTGAAAAACACAAATCAATTGAAGATTATACTATTAAAATAACAAAAGTGAACATAGGCAGAGCTGAATTGAGTACTCTCTGGATTCATTTTTGATTCTGAAAGCCATGATATGAAAGAGCATAGCTGGCAGATTGCCATTTTCTAATATGCATAGGTAATTTATGTGTGCTTTCCTTTTTTTTCCAATTCTCATACTTCTCTTTCAGGAACTATAGATTGAGAAAATGTATCTTCAGTTCTGTCTAACTCATGAGTTTTGTATTTTAAGCTAGCTCTTCTCAATAAAAGAAATGCTGTCACTCACCGCCATGAGGGAAAAACTGTGCATAGATCTGCTTGAATGTTTCTTCATTAACAGCTCCACTAGGGCATTCCTATGGGAAAACAAGAAGTAAAGCTGTTTTTAAAAATTTATTTATAGTATCACCTGGTCCCCACTATACCCTTACCATCATATTTCTGGTCGCTGAGTTCTATATGCTTAGAACAGAAGAAACTCTCTTACAGCAGTTTTAATCAGCACTTTCCTCTCTTGGCTCAATAAGTAATTTCTTTTGCCATTACCATGCAGTGAAAATCAAGTTTAAGTCAAAATCCTTGTTCTGTTGGAGGGGGCACTAAAATCCATTTTGCCACCTGGAACAAAAACCTGCAGAGACCATTCTGAGATTGATCCCCTCAGGCAATTAATTTCATTTGATCCCCACAAAAAAAGGAACTGCAAAATCAAAGCTAATTGGAGAGGAATCGATTGTCTGAAGAGGCACAGTTGTTTTGCAATTCACCTGTAGGTAAAACTGTCTATAAATGTGCAGCATAACAAGATCTGATCTCATCTACGGTGGGGAGGGTGACTGTTGCTCATATTAGCACTGCTGGCTGTTGGAAACCAAAGCGAAACAACAGAGATACAGAAAAACACTCTCCCATGCTGCTAACCAGATTTAGGCTCTGGGTATGCCTTCTGATTCTGGTGCTACAGCAGTTATGTTCACCTCTCTTACCTTGCTTGCTTATTGAGAGATTGGAAAGAATTGATCATTAAACAAGAACACTCATTTCTTGTTGTTCCACTCTGCATCATTTGGGTGCCATTGCGACAGTCTCAAGACAGATCAGCCTTAAAGCTTTCCACTTGTACTTATCTGGAAATGCAAATTTCCCAGGAAAAGTTGTATTTGCTTTTAGAAGATGCTTGGCCAAAAGAGAACAAAATGAACAAATGAGAATTAAAGTAATTTATCACAAGCAGGCATCACCTGCTGACAAATAGCAAAAAACAGAAGTGCTAAGGAGTGATAGCTTTTGAAGGAGCAAATGAGTTCGATCCCACTGGGGATAAGCAAAATTAAGCCCTATTGATTTTATTGGAAATCTTTAAAATACTTTTAAGCTAGGATAAATTAGCAAATGCTCTTTAAAATAATAATAAAAGGAGAGAAAAATTTTTCACTGAAAAGGTTTCCTAGCACTTTTGACTTTTCTCTGTCAGAAGGAACCAACTGGCACAGGCATCTGGGCAAGAAATGGTAAAATGAAGATGACTCTATTTTTAGTGGAACTGATGACTGTGGTGAAATAAAATGTTAAAATAGACTGTTTTTAAATGATGATATGGAAGGAGAACATGATAGAAGTTTTACTGAACAAGATTGAGACTGACCTGAAAGTGGATTTAAAAACTATAAGCAGTAAAAATGATGTGGCAAAGGAAGCTACGCTAGTTTTACAAATGAAACCAGCTTTTGTCTTAATAATTAAAAGGGATATATAAATAACAAATACCAAAAGAGTGGCTAGGATAATTTTCCCATATTGGAATAACAAATAGAGTTGATAAAAACTTACAGAATTTTCTGAGAAGAAACACAGAAGAAATTAAAAGAAATAAAGTTCTAAAACATTATTAGAAGGGATCAAAGATTAAGAAGGTTAAAAGTAAAAGGAAGAAATATAAAGTTGTTTTTATTTGATCACAGTCAAAATAAATATGTTGTTATCGCTAGTAACCTTTAATGGATTTTTGCTGAATGAGACTGAATGAGATTTTAAACATACGTATGTAGATAAGAGATGATACATGGGAAGTAGAGTTCATTTGTTATATTTTAAGAGATGATAAATTCAAAAATTATTAATATTTGTTGTGATGAAAAGATAAATTGTTTGTTTATATACAGTATATACTTCTCCTTTACCATATTATTTTTCTTCTCTGTTTTTATTTCCTTTTTCTTTTTTTCTGATATATATATATATATATATATTTAATAAAAATTACTATTAAAAATGACCCAGCTGGCCATCATTTATAGTAAAGGAATTGGGACATTAAGAAGCAAGTTATAAAATAGAGATTTATTTGTTGTATTTATAGATCAGAAATCATGGAGGAGTACATGTTGTCATGCCCCTGTCGGAATCTGATTTGGAGGGGGAGGCCGAGCAGCTGACAGGGAGTGGGAGTGTGGCTCTGTTGGCTATGGAAGAAACTGGGAAAGAGCAAAGTCCGGCTAGGCAGAGCAAGGGAGAGGTAGAGCAAGGCAGAGGGAATTTGGAGGAAGATCCAGGCCCACTCCCTCTTCATCCTAGGGCCTGCAGGGAGGAACGGAGAAGGTTCTTCCCTCGGAACATACTTCCGAGGTTGGTAAAATGAGGACCCAGATTGTTGGGGGCAATGTGCTGACACTGTAAACTGCTTAGAGAGATCTGCAAAGCATTATAAAGCAATATATAAATCTAAGTACTACTACTATTGCAATGTGTTTGAACTTCTTAAATATTACATTTTACTTATGCATTACTATTATCACTTTCAAGGACTGCCCCATTCAATTCTGATTTACAGGTAAAGAACTATTTAAAATAAGAAACAGAGGACATTTAAGCAATCCATCAACAGTCAGCACCTAAAAAAACCAGACTAAACAGACATATAGATGACCTGGTGTCACATGAAACAAACAAAATGTTAAAAAGTTATGATGTTTATGTAGTTACTTACCAAGCACATCTAAATTATCTTAAGTAACCAAAATATCTTTACAATCTCCAAGGCATGTCACAACATTTGAGCACCTAATACAGTATTTCAAAATTGAAAGTTGAAAAATTTGACATGCCTTAGATTTATAATCATGTTATGTTATTCTAATAAATATTATGCCCTTTTGGTAATGTGTAGTTTTCACTCTTTGGGAACAGAGAATAGCTATAATTGCCAAATGTTATCCTCAAGCTATGACTTTTCAGGGTGTTATCATTGTTGGCCCGAAGGGTAACATACAGTATGTGTTATATACACATATACATACACACACACCCACATATTTTTGGAAGTTTGGATAATTTTTTGGGGCAAGATTTGAATAAACCCTTCTGTCAAAGTGAACTTGTACTTTTAATTTTAAATCTTTGGACTTCTTTCAAATGTGCCTACTAGTTCCAATTAATTTATACTTAAATGGTCACAGTTTTGTTTCACACGAGTCAAGAATACTCAAGAGATCTCATTAGTAGTAGAGAGAATAACTTAATACAGCTAAATCTTCAGACATATTCCTTGGGAAATCAAGCAGGTATGCCCCTTAATGTAATTTCTGTTGGAGCAACATAAGTATGACAAAATTAGTTCATTAAGAATTTTGATGAATGTTCTGTCTGGTTAATTATGCACAATACTTTAAACTATATAACTAGAAATTTGTGCATATCGGGGATAATTGGGGTATTCCAATGCTCATCTACAATTCCATAAATTGAGAATTTTCACAGCTAGGATATGAAACTTTATGGGAAAATAACAAGTTACTTTTCAGCCCTTTTTTCTTACATATCCAGAAGCTAGCTTAAGTTTACTTGAGTTTCTCCCCAAAATATCATTAAAAAAACCAAACCTAGTGCATTCTTATACTATGCAACATTATACCATCATACAATCACTTTTTTTATAAACACATTTTGATAAGTAACCTACATATCAAGATCTTCTGCACTTCAGTGCAAGGAAGAGTGAGCCTTTGACTAGGATGAAAAAGCCAAGCATTCTGAACACTAACAACCATGCTGTGCATTGATACAGGTCCTCAGTATTTTTGGCCCTTGTGACTCAGACCTTGAATTAGAGTCTTGCCTTTCTAAGCCATGTGGAGACATAGAAAAATGTTTCATTGTATAGAGAAAAATTGGGCATAGCCAGGATAATTCATATCACCCTGATACTGGAATCAGAAATGATTATGTCAGCTATGCTCAGAGTTTCTGGAAGGTCTCCTTTAAAAGCAAACTAGCAGTAAAACTTTTGGAAGTTGAAATACACCAATGTACTGTCTTATTAGTACCTCATAACATACTGACCACAAGGAGACAGTAGATTTATTTTTGTTGTTAGATTTTTATCTTGACTTTATTACATTAGAAATCAAGATTTAACATTATACTCCGTGTCACCTCTTTGTATACCATTCCGCCTGCTCTTTGTCTGAGAGAGAGCTCATCTGAGTTCACTTGTATCTGCCTTTTGTCCTAGCTGCACAGGCATAGAGTCCATGTTGTTTATTATCCTCCTAATAAAATGTAGTTAGCTAGATCAGGTTTTCCCCGACACTATCAGGTATTTCCCTGAACAAGTCTCCTTACTGTTGCCAGCTGGAATAATGCTTGCTTCATCCCTTTTTACCAGACAGGATTCCCACTTTCTGTGATACTTACAGGAACACACCCAACACAGCTTCCAACATTCCAGGACAGCCCAGGTTTGCATATTTGAGACTTAATTTGCAATTGCGTTCCACCTAATGCTTGCTAGGAACTGTTCTTGAAGATTAACACTGCCTTCCTCTAGATAACAGGAGTCACTTGGATTGTATCTATAGTTAGATCTTTGCCTCTTATACAGTATATTGTATATTATATATTATATCTATAGCTAAATATCTGCCTCCAGCCTAAGGTGCCAAGGAAAGTCTTGGATTAACCATTAAGCAAAATAATGCAGCAGTATGGAGCATTCCACATTATAGTAAGTGTATTAAAATGTATCACGGCTTTTGGTAGATAAATCACTTAACTCCTAGTACTGTGACCCTGGGGTGGAAATAGTCAGCAGAAAGCAAACAGACACCAATCATTATGGTATATGTTGATACCATCAGAAAGTTATGAAAAGGTAGCAGTAAGGTCAATCAAATAGCTTGTCAAAGCACTCCAGAGGAAATGGCACTGGCTGACTATATGACTATACCACCACCCTTCATCCTTCTGTTACCTATCTGTTTAAATGTTGTTGCCAACATATATAACATGAGGAGTGGGCTTCATCAAGGTTCTCTCTTGCAGTCTGCCAGTAGGAAATCCCGTGACTCACTATAAGTATTTATATTAAAGTATATTTTGTTATTTCTATTTCTCAAATACCTTGGTTTTGCTTTTAGTTAGGGTTTTCCTCACAACCATAAATATATACTTAGGGCACCAATCAATCTACTATTCTCACTCAAGGCTCAAACTATCTTATTTCTCACACATTATGTAAAGATCTAGCTCTCTGGAGAAGGCTGTAAATGCTGGAAAAGATGGAAGGAAAGAGACAAGGATGTCCAACAGTAAGGGGGACAAATTCAGTGAAAGTGGCAATGAGTACACCATTGGAAGAGCTGAAGGACCTGGTTAGGGATAGACCATCATGGAGAAAAGCTATTCATGGGGTTGCTGGGAGTCGGCAATGAATTGATGCCATGTAAACATCATTAAGAACCAAGAGAAGGTGAGGGGGCACCACAGAATTTTACCCTTAGCTATCATGTCCTTAACTCTTTCACTGACACACTCAACTTTACTGTTCAGCACTTAATGAGTCTTAATGTCTTGTCATTTAAGAAATGGAAGGATTGGGGGATACCATTGTGTGCTGTGCTTAGGGCATCAGTTGGCCTTAATCCAGCTGACCAAGGGCACTCTAGGTTTTACATTTTTTGTTACATGAACTCTGCTGATTACTTAAAGACAATAAATAGATTCAATAATAATCTATCTAACACATGCAGATATTCATTCAAGTTGTCAAATTCTGCTCTAGCAAATAAAAACAATCTCCCAGCCAATTTCTGTTTGAAGATGTTGAATTGTATAGGTATGTAATTGGTTTGCCATACACCAAGATTTGGATCTATCCCGACCCTGAAAAGCTTTGGCAAATTGATTGAAAGCAAAATACATCCCCCTTAGAAATATTGGGATCAGGATGAGTAATGAAGCAAAGACTTTATTACTACACATATTTTATCAATAAAAACTAATTTTATGAAATATTTTACTGTTTATGAAATTAATATATTTCAATGAATGATTGCTGAAGTAGAAATTTGATCTGATAGTCGTGTTTCTTTGCAACCTCAACAGTCCTGCACATTGTGTATACTTATAACTTCCTAAACTGTAGAATTTTAGATGAAGATAAATTACAACATATATATGCATTTTTTTCTTCCTAAATCTGGCTCTTTCCCTCTGCATCCACTACATTTAATAATATACACTATGAAAACAATACAATCTTACCTTCTGAATAAATTTGAAAAATTGTGGCAGAATAAAATTATTAATTAGTGTGAGTCTTTTTAATATGCAGCTTGAACAGTGAGTTATCACTATGGAGAGTGACAACTCACTGTTCAAACTGGGTATTGAAGAGTCACATTAATTAATAATGGTAAGTTGGATTTGGCGAAGGAAGGGAGGGAGGAAGGAAGGAAATTTAACATTTTATCTTTGAAGTAGTCATATTATCTCCCCCCCACCCCGGGAAAAAAATGCTTTAAAATACTATGGAAGGAAAAGAGAACTTCAGTGAAAATTGGAGCTAACAAATACTTATTTTGTTAGGCTATTCATTCTCTTATTGTCAAACAATTTGTACAGATAAGTTTAGCTCCTTGGCAATTAATTTTAAATGCTTGGATTTTTTATTTAAAAAAGATATGACCTGGGTGGGATATGACCACAATTGTGAAACACAAAATATTTCCAAGATATCCCAAAGTAAAAATGGAATATCCCAAATCTAATTTGACACAATGAAAACACAATAAAGAGCTTGGCTGAAACTACCAGGTTACAGAGCTATTAAGTCATCCATTTTGTACATTAGAAAATTACAACACAGGCTATATTTAACAAGTGAGCTGCATGTTTTTAGCCTGGCTTCCTTTTAAATCTATCGTTATGACATTAACAAATAGGCATAATAGCCTTTTATCTGTCTGATTTTAGATCTAAATAAGGACTTCAGAAAAACTCTCTTTCTTGTTCTGATTTACTGGTCAGTTCATAATAAGTATATTTTACCATCTTACATTTTTGAATCCTCTGTAAAGTACTTGAAGTTCCTTCTTTGTGAAATTGGTTTGTGCCTCAAGTTGTTCTAATCCTTCCGGTCGATGACATACTGTTGTAATTTCCAATTCATCTTCAATTTTATCTAAAACAAGGACACAGCTTGATTTGGAACACCATACTGTTTGAGAAGTGGTGGAAGGAATTCAGTGAAAACCAAATAATTTGGACATAATTACATATTAAGCTGTATACCCATCCCGTTCCATTTAATGTAAAATCAACACAAGAAACAGGCATTTTGCAGATTTTTTGTAAGAGATATTATCACACAAAATATTATTATTCCACTCATTATTGCACTCCTGTTGTAATACTCTATTCCTTAATAACATTTGAAACATGTTTCAAATTCCACCAGAAGATAAGAGTCTCATGTTCATGCTCACTGATTTGAAAATATTTTCCAACATGCAGCAATTTTTTTTAGAACAATGTCACAAATTGCAGGTAGAACAAGGACCCAACGTGCTAAAACAGAATAGACAAAAAATTGTGAAATCCTCCTCTAGCACACTAATATGGCAATGGGTATTGTTTAACAAATATAAATCACTTCCACACAATATATTTAAGATTAGAACGAACAATTATTACACTCAGCAGGCATGGAGATCCATTTTCTTTTGTTATGCAACAAAAGAGTTGGAGAAGACATTCTAAGTGTTATCAAAGACCAGTGTAAATTCCCTGGAATTATTTTCCCCAATGTATGGCTTTTTCTGTTCAGTGAAGATATAGCAAAAAGGTGATAAGTTCCTGAAATGTATAGGTTGTGAAGTAAATATACCTTGCCTATGAACAACCTCATCAAAAGAAGCTACATTAGCCTTGATGTTATTATTGCTGAATTACTATTCCAGAAGTTAAGTCAGTGCTTATTCGGATAATATGTTTATATTGATGCATTAGTTGTTCTTAATTTTTATATTTGTTGTATATTATTGATATTTCATGATTATATATTGTTCATTTATTTGTATATTGCTGAGAGTCACATGACTGCAGTGGTTTAGGAAACTAAATTATATAAATATTTCTTTAAAGTGAGAGGCAGTGACACCATGGAGAACATATCTTTCCCCCAAAGTCATGATTTTCTGTATAATAATTGAGCACTGCGACTATTCACATGTATCTTGTCCATAGATGGAATAGTAGCTTCCTAAGATAATGAGCAGAGAGCATTTCAATGTAATTAAATATTGTCTTCTATTTTTGATTGCATGTGTTTCTAATTACGATTAAAAGTTTGCATTCAGCTTGGGGACTCAGCTTGTAGCAAAGTGCCTCATTGCATTCTTTGGCCATATATAATTAATTACTTGGAAATCAGAAAGGATGAAAATGAAAGGAAAACATTTTAGAAGCTATGAAGTTGACTTCATGTATGAATATGTAGATCAATATCAATTTAATCTATAGATTTTTTTCACATACATAACCTTTAAAATGGTGAAAAATATGCAGTAAAAGTTACAACTTTCCTTAACATTCATAATTTTTGTAGGCAATTTATATAGTTGTTAAAACAGTTTTTTAAAATTATCCTAATAATGAACTTTGTTAGATAAATTTCTCTAATGCATTCTTCAATGTGAACAATTACATTTTGAATCCAACTTTAAGAAAGAAAGGTGAAATCTTCTTCAAGTCAGGATTAACTCCTGGTAATCCAAGTCTCCATGCATTTTTTTTAAACAATATTGGAATAATATGTCCTCTTCTGGAATGCTTAATCGATTACCCAGTTTTTCCAAGTATCCAGGTATTCACTGGGGATCTTTGTAATAAAAAGGCACAATCTCATTTGGGGCCAGCTTACTCCAGGCCCTGCTAGGATGTGTTGCATTAATCCCTATGTAGCCGAATCTAGCAACAGAAAACAATACATATGGCAAAATGAGCTTTTATCGAATGCAATAGGATGGAGAACCTGAAATTGATAGGCACGTGTGCAGGTTTGCCAATTAGTCCCTCCAGAACTTCTGTGGCTTGACAAACAATAAGATACCAGATTCATTGTTCCCAATGGCCTCAATTCCTTGATAGGTATACCTTCACTTGTTGCCTAACTATTTTTCACGGAGCCTGCAAAGGTACAAGAACCTGTCTAGAGCATAGTCCCATAGAGAAAGCAGCAAGAAGGAATCCTATACATTGCTGCTGGTTATTGGGGTGGATTTCCATCCAGATTTCATGAAAGGAGCAGCTGGATGGATCTTGACCTTCTGGGACAGCAGCCTAAGAAGAATAAGGGGTGAGGGACAAAAGGAGAGAGGGGAAAGACACATGAGCAACCAGCAGCAGTTACCTGAAAAGCCCCCTTTCAATTGGAGACTGTTAGAAATTACCCTTTGCATTGCTGCACTCAAACTGGGCATCTGCAAAGGAAAAGTTGCACAGCAGACTTTGGCCAGCAATAGCAGTCATTGGCCTGGAATGCAAGAAAGAATTTAACTGAAAGAAAGGATGAATGTTTTCCCTATGTATGGGACTCACCATTCCTAACTGTGGGAAGTGGTGGAAAAATGGTTGTAGTAATACTAATGAATATTAATAATATAAGAAGATTGTATTGAGATACGGCAAAGGATGCAAAGATCAATAGATATTATATTTGCAAACTCCCTTGCTTACCTGTGTGATGACCAAGCACTTGGCATTCTCAGCTCTTGAAGTGAGTTAAGAAATTGATGTAGGATGAGATACCTATGTGCATTCTAGACAGAGAAGTGTTAGTCATATGGACACTCACCAAATTTGTTGTCATATCCAATTGGTTTTTGTGAGGTATCCTTTTCTTTATATATTCCAATCAATGAATTAGTTAGGTATACCTGATAGGCATCTAGCATCTGTCTAGTCACCCTTGGTGGTGCAGTAGTTAGAGTGCAGTATTGCAGGCTACTTCTGCTGACAGCCAACTGCCTGCAATTTGGCAGATCGAATCTTACCAGGCTCAAGGGTTACTCGGCTTTCCATCCATCTGAAGTGAGTAAAATGCCCCCTTGTTGGGGGCAATAGCCTGACTCTGTAAACCGCTTAGAGAGGGCTGTAAGGCACTATAAAGCAGTATGTAAGTCTAAGTGCTATTGCTATTTAATAATTTATATGCCAATGTAACTTGAGGGTCAGATAAAGGAGTGAAGTGTATGTATATTTATATGTATATAGGGTATTTATAACCTGTTCTAATAGAATAAAGTCAGAACATTAAGGTACCCATTTTCCTACTTAACATACTAAAACAAAAGCTTTGAAAAAATGTGGCCTGGTTTAAGAAAGAGTTAAAAGGGTGCTATTGTATCCTTTCAATTCCACAGGTACAAACATAACAATTAAGTCTGTGTAATTCAGATAGATAGATAGTGTCGTATTTTGTAACAATACTCCTAACACGCGAGTTCTCTGCACACAAACTGCTTTATTTTTTTCTTAACTCCTCCCTTCCAGTTCCTTCGTACTGTGTCACCTCAAAATATGTCCCTCACTACTCTCTGTCTAACATTGGTTCCTCTTCACAGTTAAACACCAACAGGTTCCGTTTACCCTACACCACATCTCCCTTTTCTAGAGAACAAAGGGTAGACTACCTTTGTCTCACCAGACCTTAGAGGATTATTCTGCCTCTTTTGTTGAAGGTCTGTTCCTATCTAAATCATATAACTATCATATAACTATTTACTAATCTAATACACCTGTGTTTAAACTATTCTGCACCTCAGATTTCTTACTAAACTACACATCAACATTAACTCTTTTCACTTTCTCAGTTCACAGATTCAGTCTCTCTGGTTTAACTATAGCTCTCCCAGACCTTGTCCTTGGGGTAGCTGTCACACTAGGAAAGTTTTTAAGTATTTTCCCAGGTGATGTAGAAACTTGTTCACTGTTTGTCTCTGGTAACTCCTGCTGCTCCACCGCTCCTCCTTCACTTGCATGTGTGTGTAAGGGTATCAAGTGCTGATGATTGCGTCTCACCACACCTTTAGGTACATCCACCAGATATGACCTTGGACTCATGTGCTTCTGAAGCACAGTCCCAGATTCTTTTGTATCAGTGACCCATACATGCTCTTCTGGTACCAAATCACTAAGAGGTTTTGCACGATGTCTCCTGTTGTAGTATTCAGTATTCATTTTCCTCTTCTCTCTCTCTTTACAAGCAAAATGGTCAACATCTGGCCATGCTGGGTCTAGCTGAGAGGGAAGAGTTGGCACAGTGGTACGAAGATGTTGCCCCATAAGCAGCTGTGCTGGACTGAACCCACTCTGGAGAGGGGTAGCTCTGTAGGCAAGCAGGGCCAGATAAGGGTCGCTAGCCTTTTTCAAGAGACTTTTCACTGTCTGAACTGCACATTCAGTTTCTCCGTTACTTTGTGGAAACTTTGGACTGCTGGTAACATGTTTGAACCCATATATGGATGCAAAATGAGAGAAATCTTGGCCAGAAAACTGTGGTCCATTGTCTGACATCAATTCCTCTGGAATCCCATGCCGGGCAAAGATTGACTTCAGATGGACAATGACATCAGTTGACTTAGTGTTCGATAGCAGTGCAATCTCGACATATCTGGAGAAATACTCTATCACAACGAAGTATGTTTTCTTTCCAAGTACAAACATGTCAGTCCCTAACTTTTGCCATGGTCTTTCCGGGCACTCAGATGTCATGAGTGGCTCTTTAGGATTCTGATGCTCTTGAATACATGTCCTGCATTTGAGCACCATTTCACTGACCTGCTGACTGGCCACCACAGACTGACGAGCACATTCTTTGCATTTCACCACCCCTTGGTGTCCTTCATGGAGCCTCTCCAACACCTCATTCCTCCAAGTGGATGGGATCACAAGCCTAGTGTCTTTCAGTAGTAATCCATCTTGTACAGTGAGTGTAGCTCATTCTGGCCAGTATCCTCTCAGTGCAGGTTCCTGTTTTGCATGCACTGGCCATCCATCTGCACACAATTTCATGACTCGAGAGCAAATACTATCAGCTTGCAACTGCTCTTTTATGATTTCCATATATGTGTGGCTAACAGGCAAGATGTCTACTACACAGTCCACATATATGTTAGTGCT